ATTTTATGACATAAAAATAAAACACAAATACACAATTTTCCTAAAGTAAACATTACATCTCCTAGCCCTAATTCATTCCGTACGAATGCACCCTTCATCACTCTTCAGAGTTCAAGCGCCGCCATCACTAATCTCTCCATACTCTTCCTACTCTAACCCATGCTTTGTCGTGTCTCTGCTCGGCGGCCAGAATCCTATTCTAACCCTTTCTTTGTCGTGCCTTTACTCTAGCGCCAAAACTCTTAAGAGTCAATCTTATCCCACCCTACTCCACCCTGCGGTCCCAACCCCTCTCTCTTCCACACACAAACAACAGACACACGTAGTACATGCTTCGTCACACACACTCCTTCCCCGTCACCTGCCGCCGATCTCCACCTCCCGCCTCCGCCAGCACCTTCCCCCACCTTGGATCACGTCGTCTGCTCCCGCTGGGAATCTTCTGCACGGACGAGGTCGATTTCCTCAGGAACTGCCGGGAAATGAACCACACGAATTCGCCGGAATAAAAAATCTCGGCTCCAATTCTCGGCCTTCTGGCAGGATACTCTGATCTCGAGCATTAAGATGGGTGGCGAGTTCGACTGGATCCCTTTGAAGATCGAGCGTGAAGACGACTGGATTTTTAGGTTTTTCGTTACGAATCGCATGCAATTTCAGAAAATCGGTCAGACGATTAGACTTGGATTCATCATCGCTAGTCGAGGAACATTCTCTTCGTGGGAAGTGGACGAATAGACCACCGGAGATTCGGCCGGCGAGATTGACGAGAAACTTCTACTCTTAATTTTGAGAATTAGATATTTCTTAGGGACCTTATTACAATTTTAAAAAGTTTGATTTAGTGTCAATTTAGTCCATGGACTAAATCTGTAATTAAGAAAAACTTTATAAAGAATATTATTCCTTAAATATTTTTTATATATATATATTAAAATAATAAAACAAAAAATATTAAGTAAAAATAATATAAAATATTAAAATAATATAAAAATAATACATAATAATAAATAAAAATATTGAATTAATAAATAAATATTTATAATATAAATAATAAATTATTTCGCTTGTTTAGGTTAATTCGGTTAACTAATTAAATAATTTGATTATTTCAGTTCGGTATTAGTTTCGATATGCACAAAAAATCTTGCAATGTATAATGCACAATATTGGTAAACAAGATGCACATTAGTGACTACCTGACTGCACAGTATTGTTATACAAAATGAACATTAGCACCATTCTTATTTTATTCACTGATAACACCATTCTTATATTATTCACTGAGCAGTGAGCACCTCGAGTGCACATTAGTGATGGACGAATTTCAAATGAGTCAGCCAAATTGCATTACATTGACTGAAACCGACAAATTAATTTTTTGGGTCCATATTTTTTTTTTATATTTTGGTTCCCTATCTGTTTTTACTTTTAAAATTTGGTTTATTTTAGCTCGATGTCAGATTTATTTTTTAAAATAAAAGAACCGATCGAACTATATATATATAAAAAAATATATATTTTTTGTTATTTATATATTTTAGGTCTTTAAAACCAAAATTAATATAAAATATTAAATAAAACATTAAACTACTAGATATATTATTATAATATATATTATAAACTATTAGAGCTATTTTGTTTTTTTTTTTGTGCCAATTTTTATGTCTTTCCGATTATCCTTTTTATATGTCACTTCGATTATCAGATTGCACAATAGCGAACGAACCGACCGATATAAAACTTTCAATTTGATTCTTTTATATTTATGTTCGGTATGATAGATCGAGTGGTACGGATTCATTCTTACTTCTTTCATTATATTCATTCTCATTTGAGCGCACTTATATATATATATATATAGAGAGAGAGAGAGAGAGAGAGAGAGAGAGAGAGAGAGAGAGAGAGAGAGAGAGAGAGAGAGAGAGAGAGAGAGAGAGAGAGAGAGAGAGAGAGAGAGAGAGAGAGAGAGAGAGAGAGAGAGAGAGAGAGAGAGAGAGAGAGAGAGAGAGAGAGAGAGAGAGAGAGAGAGAGAGAGAGAGAGAGAGAGAGAGAGAGAGAGAGAGAGAGAGAGAGAGAGAGAGAGAGAGAGAGAGAGAGAGAGAGAGAGAGAGAGAGAGAGAGAGAGAGAGAGAGAGAGAGAGAGAGAGAGAGAGAGAGAGAGAGAGAGAGAGAGAGAGAGAGAGAGAGAGAGAGAGAGAAAAGGGCTCATATGAGAATAGAGAATAATGAAAGAAATGAGAACGATCATACACCGTTGGATCGTCCAGATTAACGGTTGAGATAAGCTGGCCTCAGGTTGACTACGCTGTGGCATGGGCGTAATTACTGTCCAAGCATGTGCCCAAATTTTTAGGTGAAAGGGCATTTATGTCATTCCTCTTTTCACCACAGGGTAAAGCCGTTTCAGACACATTAATTGCCCTCATAAAGATCCGCGCCCGTCTTGGAAGAAATTTCTGCAGATTTCGCCATTATAGAGCGATTTTGTGAGCTGATTTCGTCTCTGTTTCTACTGTTAATGAGCGATTGTACAATTATTGATCATTTTGTATCTATATGTGAAGGAAGTATGTTGCAAAGCTCGTGAGAAGTCGTGCACCAGTTCAATCAGATTAAAAAAAATGGATGTTTCTCCACAATCAAAGAACCCACGTAACACTATAGTCAATTTTATGACAAGTACTCAGTTTGTTCAGAACAACATTGCCCAGTTTATTGCTGATGGTTAAAAACAATCAGAATTAAAAATAAACAACGAGAATTAGGGTTCATCTGATTTTGTAATTTAGGGAATACAATTTATCACACGTATTACGTTTGTTTGTTGTGTGGTTATCATTCTTCATTTTTTTTTGTTATTTATTTATTTATTTATCCATTTTTTTATGTGTGTTTCACATTTATTATTAGATCTTACATGAATTGGTGCATGTTGGTATTCAACTTCAGTAAAGATATGTGTTGTACCCTGTTTTCGAATAAAATTTTTTAGGAAATGGATATATGTTTGAATTGGTATATGATTTATACACTATTTCAGTGAATACATGCTTTGATAAATGTATTGCACTTTGTCACTCATACCCATTGTCGAGATGTACTCGGACTGATACTACGTTGGTTGTATAAAAGATTCGGTGCCTATGTGCGTTTTTAGTCGGATTTTGTTATTTTGCAGATAAATGTGCTGATATAGGCATGACGGACGAACCACCTGGTGGTTGGAAAGGTAGGTGATGTGCTATTAGGAGGACGTAGTAATTTTTTTATGTCCATCTTGTTTTAATCGATGTGTAGATGAATTTCATGTAATTTATTTCAGTTACACGACGTGGTACGGGGTTGAATGAATCCCTGCCAACCCCTGCAGCACAAAACGTCAAACGTGCGCATGAGTGTACATACGTGTAAATGAATGTTGTTTGTATTCAATGTAGCAACAAGCATTTGCATAGTATCTGGGACATATGAACATGTCGAAGTACTCGAAAGTTGTTGCACTTTCAGTTCCGGATGTTATTGATTTGACGTGGACTGAAGGGGTCGATGATGTCGATGTCGGCGTTATAACACTGCGTCACATGGAGACATTTAAAGGGTGAGTTATGAGAAACTGGAATCCACACGTGAAGAGGGCCGACAAAGGGTAAATCAAGCTTATGAGAAATCGGTATTGTTACGTCATAGCGTACATGTCAAACAATAGACTGAAAGATGTAAACATCACCGAAGCAAAGAGGTTCCAGCCTATTAATGTCGTGGAGAAAGAAAGTGCTATCGGGCGATGTGTTAGTTACATTGATGTACTGTCTGGACTAAATAGAATCGTGCTTGGTTGTTCATCTTTATGAATTATATATTAGGTATATGAATCATTTGGTACGTTCACATCTGTCACGGAATGCACACAACACGTGTTGGTCTCGTTTTGGTGTGTATTGCTACGTTATCATGGATTTTTTTATGTGCTTTGTTCTAACTATTTTGTTGTTTATTTTTTACTTATTATTATTATACTATTATTATTATTTTATTTTTTATTTTTTTTTCTGGTTGGTTGTTTTTGTGGCTGATGATGTGATGAAAAATGACGCAATATTACTTGTACATGTTGTAAGTTTCACGGTATTGCATGACTGGTTCATTTCGTTTTGTTTGGGTTACACAGGTGATAAGGTGCAGTGTAATGAAGTACTAGGTGCAATGAGACGACGCATAAAGTGCAATGACACATTGTATATCATGCATGCTAATTTGGGCGATCTACGTGTTAAAATAATTTTCTCGTGAGATGTTACCTACCAAGGTGTGATTTATGACTGTAATATACATTTTTTTTTTATTTTTGTTTCAGTTTGCTAATCTTTATTAAATAAGTATCATTTTCGTATGAACGACTGATACAATACATGTGGCAGCGTATTATCGATTGTTATTGACACTTTAGTGCATATTTGTTGTTAGCGTTTGTGCTTCAATAGAAATTATTATGTAGTAATATTTTTTCCATTCGATATTATCGTTGTGTTTTTAGCGTGTTGGGTTCAAGCATTAAGGTGCGATGATATTAAAAATAAGGTGCAACAGACGGTGGTATAAAGTGCAACGTCGTACTATGTATTGTGCAGGCTATTGTTAATGCGAGGCACGAGTGTACAAATTAATTTTCACGTGTTTGACTCGGTGATTCATGTGTATTTCATTCCCTTTCTTTATTTTTTTTTCTTTTTTTTTTTATAGCAATCCCTCATAACGTGCGATTATATTTGACCAAAAGTGCAAGCCGATGTACGATGCTGTGCATTTTTCCATTTCGTGCTTGTGCACTACATGCATTTATTGAGAATAGGCCAATTCGACAAACCATCAATTAGTATCTTCGTAAAGCTGAATAATATTACAATCGTTGACATCAAATAAATAGTTAAAACATTTGATAACGTCACATGAACCACCAGACATCAATCGTTCAACAAACTATATAATTGTAGCATTTGTTACAGCATAATTCCCATCATCCTTGCGTCCACGACCTGTGACAGCGCACGCAACCCAATACGCGCATTACGACCTACCCGGTTGGATACTCTACGCCTCATTGCACGACCTTCGTCAAGTGCTGTTGGATCGATTACAACACAATGCTTGTAACCGTCACATGAGCACACCATGAACTTCCAAAGAATCGTTTTGTCTCTAGCTTTAACCAGCGTGCTGTGTCTCACATCGAACCCAACGTTGAGAGCATATCTCTTGTAGAAGTCGACCGCTTCACGTAATTCCCGAAACCATTGTCCATTGTAAGGTTTGATCGATTCTTCACATTGCGATATCCAATATTTAGTCCCCCCCCAGGCATGACTACAAAATAGTGATGCATAGCTGTTGTTTGTGAGCCTTAAAAGTACTTAATAAATTCAGAAGACAAAAAAAAAAAAATTAAAAAAAATTAGTATAACGGCACATTTTATGACCATACAGTTGCACATAGTTATTTTAACGGTTGCCCCATACCTGTATGTGATTTACCCACATCCATTGGTACTGCAGCTCAACCAAATCAAGTANCACACAAAACAGGGGAATTAATTCTTCATCATATATTCGCATGCAAAATTTCTGATATTATATCATCTACTTATTACCCAATAAACATTATTTGAATATTGTTAACAAATTGAATAACTATAACAAATAATATCCAACATACGATTTATGTTTGTTGTTTGATATACCTGAAATAGATTTTGAGGTCATCGATCTCGGAGTACAGCACCTCAATCGGAATTTTCGGATTGGCCAAGATAGTTCACTACAATCGCGTTCAGGAAAAAATCTCACGCGATAGACGAAATAATCAGACATGACTGTATGAATTTCGACCTGTAAGCTCGAATAAAATAATCTAATTCAAGAACAGCACGCGAATCTCTGGCGGAAATCGTCTAATCTGAGCTAGGGTTCGCGATTCTTCTCCCCCCCCAAACTGTGGGGTTCCCAGCTTTGAGCCGAAAGAGGTGTGAGATAGGTTTGTTGAATTACCAACGTGCCTTTCGATATAATTGCAATATTAATTGCCGCCCTCTGCGCGTACTTTATTTATTCTCGTTTCTTTCGGTAAGCCTCTTTCTCACCGGAACCCAACTCTCTCTCTCTCTCTCTTTATATATATAAATCAACCGAAAATATTTGTACACAAATAAAAAAGATCTTCCATTTTAATTGTTTTTTGCTTGTAAAATTATATCTTCAGTATATTATTTTTGAACTTTCTGCCAAAAATAAATCTTGCCGTACAAAAGAGAAAAAACTGCATAATATAACTATTGACTCCCGAAACATGAAGTATAGATGGTAAGCCTATTTTATACGTCCGTGCCTAAAAGCAATGAAACATTTCAATATCAAAATAGCTTGAGAAATGGGGAAAAAATGGTTAATATAAATAGTTCTATCTTGGATTCAAAGACTCAATTGCCACCGGCGAAACCCCTGCCAAAAGGTATCTAATTCTCATTTACAGTAACCGCCCGCTACACCTTTCTTCCCTCCTCTCTCAATCTTCAAATTTCAGCTCAAATTCACACGAGGAAGATGAGCGAGCAAGAATTCCAAGACGAAGACACCATCTGCCGGTCCATGCACCACCTCAGCACCGCCGCCTCCCTCCACCACCTCCACCAACCCACCGCTGCCGCCGCCTCTGAATCGCCGGAAGTATACACCACCACTAAAAGACAGTATCCCCTGTCCCCTTCGTCCTTTCAGGAACCGCTTCCGAAGAGGGCCAACCTCCACTACCCTTCATCGCCTTCCACCGCCGATGGCCGCGACCTTTCTGGATTCACGAGGCTCCCGCTCCCACACCCATTCCCCGCCGCCGCCGCCTCTCTACCTCCTCTCCGCCGTACGGTCTCCGAGCCCATACGCGCCGCCGACGTCATAAATTCTTCAGCTCCGCGGGCATTTCCTACTTGCCCAGGTCCGGTTTCCAGCCAGCCGCAAGAATACCCCAATCTAAACCCCATTCTTCAAGATTCGCTTCAGCTTCCAATTGCTGCGCCAGTTATCCATCGCACAGTTTCCGATCCCATTACCCTCTCCAATCACCAGGTGGTGGCCACCGGCAGTACGCCGCCGCACTGTCATCGTCCGCCTCTGGCAAGAAATGCTCAAAGGTCTCCGAGCTGTGACGAGAGCCCTAATACCAAAGTCGGGTTTCCCTGTTTCATTTTTCTTAAATGATTGCCATACATAATTCTCTCTTATGTTTTCTAGATCTGATTGTTACGAAACTGGCTGTTTGTTGGTCGTGTATTTGTATAATTTCAGAGGCTGAGGAGGATGAAGGAGCGCCTGAAAGAGATGAGCCAGTGGTGGAATCAAGTGGTGCATGAAGATGAGGGAGAAGATGATGAATCTGAAAATGACTTCATAGAGAACACTCAAAAGGTTGTCATTGCCTGTTAATTTGCGAACTTATTGTGTGCGTGTGGGTACATCTTTTGTTTTAATTCTCACTACAATACTCATAGTCCTTGCGAATTTAGGTATGGGAATCCATTGAAATGTGTGCTTATATTTCCTTCCATATCTCATTTCTTGGACAACTATTATTCCATATTATACAGTAGAGTCAGATCTTTAATTTTTGTCAAACAGGCTTAGATTTTGTTTAGTCATTTCAAGTGAACCAGATGATTTCCAGTTCTAGTGTTTATAAATGCTGAAATGGTCATATTCAGATCTATTATGCCACTCAATCTTATTATGAAACTGATTCCTGTTTGTATACCCTTAAGAACCCCTCCACAATATAGTTCGATTCAATTTCAAGAATATTATTTTGCATATATCCTTTTTTCTTTAATTAGTTTGAAGTAAATCTGTATGATTTAAACTTATAGTGTACTTTAAGATGCTTGAGTGACAATACCCAGCTTAGCTATGTCACTGGTTGCTACCCTTTTCGACAGTATTAGTTAGATTGAATCTCAAGAATACGGTTCCCCAAATATTTGTTTCTTGTTTGGTGTAGGAGTTCATCAAAATATTTGCTAATAGTTCTGGGCATATGCTTGTTTCTTGACTTTGGTTATAAATTATAGTGGAGTTATCTCTGCCTTTTTTCAACTAAGGCTTTTTGTTTATGCATATTAAGTCAGTCAGAACGGTTCACCATAGAGTTTACTTAAGAATTCCTGTATCATACTCAGTGAAGTATGTCATATGATTGTATTCGATTTCAACGAGTCCCTGTAGCTGTTCTTGTTCGTGTAGACTAAAGTGCCATTTGTTTTATCAGTAATTCTATTGAACCTCAACATCTATCTGTAATTAACTTTTTAGTAGTTCACTAAATGTCCATTTGGATGGTATTGTGATTAGTACAAAGTGATTGGCATTATCATTGGATGCCTAAATGATCATATGTTACTATTCTGATGAAATATAGCAACCTGTAATTTTTCGTGAACTTTTATGTTACGCGTTGTATATGTTGTAAATTTATCTCCTGATGCAAATATTAATATTTTCAGGAAGAAGCAAAAGATGATGAAGTGGGAAATCCATCAAATGAAGCTGTTTGGGTCGAGAAGAATGGAGAATGCTTGGTCCTCCATTTCAAGTGCCCTTGTGGTACCGTTTATCAGATTTTGCTTTCTGGGAACAACTGCTACTACAAACTGACTAGCTTCTGAACTTCTATTTCCTGAATAATGTCCCACCCCACTGTCCTTTCATTACCCACAAATAATCTTTACTTTGAAGATTTTCAGGTCAAAGTACATATCCCTTTTGTCTGCTGGCTATTTTCTTCTTATTAGAAGTCGGATTAGGTCATATGAATATACCATTAGGCATGTCTATAGTTGGTTTCTTTTACGTGGACGAAGAATCATCATGTGATAATCCTAAGTCCTATGCATTCTGCCTTCTGATGAGTGATGAACAGATTTAATAAGTTTCTGTTGTACAGTTTGATTTGGATCTGTTTCTTGGAGCTGAAAGTTTTCTGAGTATGTGAATTCTGATCACATGATTTCCAGTTTGATTGTTGCAGAAGTTGAGATGATGTAGCATGTATTTCAATTTTTGGTTACCTATTTTTCGTTTCAACTTATATGCACTGTGTGAGTTAAAAGCACATATGTGCTCGATTCCCATCAAGTAATGCGAAAAAAGAAAGAGAAGATTAGTGAAAAGAAACATAACTCGATTGCTCGAGTCTACGAAGAATTCTCCAAATTTAGTGTTTGGAAATATAAGGAGAAGAGTATGAGTTTTCTGAGAATCCCACTAAAAGTTGTCTTCTGCAGGGGAGTCTTGAAACATAATCAGCAAGTGTTTGTTAAGTTTGCTCTGTGCATCAAACAGAAGTTAATAAGTGAAATATAGGTAGTATTAGGAGGGGGATAATTGACTGTCATGGCATGATGACCTGGATCCTTGAACATGAATTATAGAGAGAATATAAATTGATGGCATGGGAATCTGCTCTTCGGAGCTGCTAAACTGGTTAGACAAGTAGAATTTGTGATTGACTACATATTTTTTTGTTATCATCATTTAGGAACAATTAATTTTTCGATGCCTGTTCTTCCTAGTGTTGGACCTTTTTGTCCAACAACAGGCAACTTACGCATTTGTTGGTGTATTTTAATACACTCCAAAAGCTATGTAATCGTTAAATAAAGAAAAGACGAAAGCAGATACCAAATCAAGAAACATAGTTTAGTCATAAGCATAGACAACAACAATAACAACTATGGAAGCCAACTATTCCTTTATGAACACATACATAATAGCACACAACACTAGCAAAGCAAGTATATATATGTTTAGGCACAGACAAGAGGGTTGGCCTTGAGATACTCTGTAACAAGCCTTGTAGAGCCCTAGAGCTTGTTGGGTCCCAACTATGATTTCTTCTTCACTTATTTCGACATCACCCTTGGTGTAATAATCCATGTCGAGCTTGATCACCGACCCACCGTCCTCTGTGACTTCAATTTTGAAGTTAGTGAATTTGGGCAATTTCATTACCTTGGACAATCTCAACGCTCTTTATGAAATTAGTGAATTTGGGTAAAACCTCTTGGTCTTGGGAGTCAGTGATCAAAGCCTTGAACAACCTTGATGGTGAAACCATGGTTTTCAGTTCCGGGAAAATCTTCTTGAAGCCCAATCATAAGCAGGGATATATTTAATGCCAAAAAAAGAAAAAAAGAGTTTAGAGACTGATGAAAAATAACAGGAAGCTGGAATTGAAATTCGGTTTGTG